TTTTGATTGCTATTCCGAGGCTCTCAAATTGCTTCTTATTTTCTTTCTTTTTTTAGGTGTAGAGAAGTAGGTAATTTTTTCTTCTATTGTTTCTTTTTTTTTTTACAGCAATAGTTGTTAGTTGGACACTTCGAAGGTTTCGCGCCGTCGACCGCGCTCCCTACCGACGCGGGCCATTTTCGGCACTCAGCCAAAATATTCCACATTGACGTCACCCAGCTGACGTCCCGCCAGGCATCACGTCACCTGTTGTCAGCTGAGGCCATGACGTGACATCGTCATGTCAAGTCACGTTGCACAGTGACGTCACGCGTCTTGACGTCAGGGACACTACGAGTTACGTGATGTTACGACGTCACGTGACAATGAAGTCACGTGATGTCACGACGTCAAGGTACACTGAAGTCACGTGATGTCACGACGTCAAAGGACACTGAAGTCACGTGATGTCACGAGGTCAAGGGACACTTAAGTCACGTGACAATACCTGGTCACGTGACACCATGACGGCACGTAGAATCAAACATGAGACTGCTGATAATGGAAGCAAAACAAAAGCGTTTTCGTTATTCATGCCAGAAGGTTTTCGGGCGATAAAACCAATAAAGCTAGGCGAGTGCCAAGCTGGCGAAACCACAGGCGTAAAATGAGGTGAAGCTACAAAGCTTAAAACTTGAGTGCGCCATTTCGGAATTGTTTTTCAGTGGCCACAAGGTGGTGTTAGTTTGTGTCCAATAACAGTGCATAAGACGTTCAGGCAGCCACACCAACGAGACGGAACGGTTCATGCAAACAGATGCACTTTCGTTGCTTTCTAAATTTCAAACCTAGGACCGCAATTTTCTGTGTTCTGTAATTATCATCAGGTAGTCGTAGTTTGTGTCCAAACTAGTTGTTTAACAGGTTCACAAAATGTTCACTACTTAATACACATTCATTGGTTGCACTGGAATTTTCGTCCGGTGTTAGTTTAATACGAAACACCTGTACGGTCTCTATGGTGCGGGCTCGCACCTTTACCATTCATTCGGTCCTGACGTGACACCTCAACTGTCGCTGTGCTTCAGTTTAGGCGATGCGCAAGTGTTTACCAACTTTTCTTTCAACGTAACTTGCCGATATTGGTTTTGACCTTCTCTTGCAATAACATTTTTTTTTTCAAACGTAATTTATTTTGATTTCGTGCATCCGGTGACATTTTGTACTATATTTTTTTTCTTTCTACAGGGGTAGCTGTTAGTGCCCCTTCCCGTCGAAAAACGGCAATATTCGAATGCGAAAATTCACGTGATCATAGAAAGGAAGGATGCATTTCCTCTAGTTCCTTGCATAATCATGTCAACTGTGGCGAAGCTCTCCTATTCGGCCACCGACAGACCGAGCCAGAAACGAGCATTACCACCTGGATATATTTCCCCGCGACGAGGTGCTGCAACAGGTGTCTTATATTCATCACTCCGAGGCCCACCGAAGCGAGGCACGCCTCGCTCTCCAACGATATTCCCCATCACCGTTTGTGCGGCAAAACCGAACGACCCGGTGGTGACGCGACGGCAATCTTCGTTCCTTTTTTTCTTGCGGCCGTCTTCGAACAATGAAAACGGCCCTCTTTCATTTCTTTTTATTTTCCAGGAATCGCCGCCGAAGCGACCCCCAGAGACGAGGGCATCGTGTCACAGCCTGAGGGGGGGGGCTCCAAATCGTGCCGGATCACCAGCTCCGGTCGGAGGCAGCGAAGATTGATCCCGCGGCGGCGGCGAGGCTCGGCGGCATTCCCCTGAGCGCACTTCTAGCCGCACCGGAGCCGCGATCGATAGCCGTCGTCTCCGGCCGAGGAGAAGAAGACCGATGTCTCTCCGCTGGGGCGCTCCCCTGACCCGCTTCGCGCACCGCGGCCCGATAGAGACGGAGGAGCAACACCTCCTCGCACTTCGACGTCAACGGCGGTACTTGCGCCCAGAATCGTACGCAACGCGTGGCAAGTAGCGGGCTACCTCTAGTCACTTTCTTTGGTAACCAAGTGACGACCCGGTCACTTTTCTGAAGAAGAAACGGGTAACGTATTTAGTATGTACTTCTGGAGAGGAACGTGTACAACACGAGTTATCCTATTTGGTTGTCCCCCGAGCTCACGCCTGTCACTTTTAAAGCAAAAGAACGCCCACGAGTACATAAAAAAAAAAAAAAAAAATCACGAATGCCTTAAGAAGCTAGGCATCACTAAGGACAGGAAATATCACGACGCGGCTGTCTGCTTTAGAATAATTGCCTATCCTGAGCACGGAAAGAGTTAACCGTTACTTGGAAAGCTGTAATAAGGAGTCCTTTTTTGAATCTCAGAAACGCACTTCGTTACTTCTCGAGCCAGTAATGAGTAAACGCATTTAGCTACTTCTGGAGGAGAACACCTACAACGCAAGTACCTGATCGAGTTCTCACCTCTTGCTTTTTACTGAACCCCCCCCCCCTCCACCTCCTCTCCTCCTCCTCCTCCTCCTCCCCCCCCCCCCCCCCCGAAACTAAATCCTGGCTGCGTGTCTGCTGGACGACCAACTCTTTAGTGAAGATGTTCTTCCACACTAACGGGTGTAGAACAAGACCAGGCTTATCTCCAGTAAATGGTTGCTAGTCAAGCAGCTCCGAGCATCTTTCTACAGAAGACACAGGCACCACAGCGAATCCCGGAGACGATACGGAGGTAAGAACTGCCACTTGATCGTTGTACGAAGGATGCAACTACAATGGCGCGTGGTCATTTTATGACGTCACGGCTAGACTAACCAATATCACTTGGCGGCAACAAACGACGGCATGTTTTTTTTATTATTTTTTGTCATGTATAGTGTCGTTTGAAGGACAGACGATGGTGATATTTAGATACTACAGGAGAAACTGGCGCCCGAAAGAAGCATTAACTAATTCTTTAAAAGGGGTTTTAGTTTCCTTGAGGTAGTTGATACACTTTTCTTTTTTAGTTTCCTTGAGGCAGTTGATACACTTTTCTTTTTTTCCTAGGGTGCACAGAGCGATAGGTCTCCTTTGTCCTTTCGTTTGCATCTGCCAGTGTCCAGGAAACGTTAAAAAAAAAAGGGGGAAGAGAAGAAGAAAAAGAGAAAGAAGGAACTGAAAGCGAGGAAAGGGTACGCGAGAGAAAGGGAAAGCGCCTAGAAACAATGGAATGGCCACTCCGGAAAGGGGCATGTGACGCCGAAAGTGAAGGGACAACACGGAAAAGGCGGGAGGTAAAAGAGCCTGGAGGGTGGAGCCCCACGGACCTTGAAGCGAAGGGAAACATGGCGGCAGCCATATTAATACAAAGACAAAAACAGAAAGAAAGCGGAGAAGGCGCAACGGTGTCCGATTATTGCCGCAGACAAACGCAGACCTCACAAAAAGTAATTTTCTCTGTTAAAAAAAGAAAATACAAAAGAAAACCGAGAGAAAAATAAAACAAAGAAGGTAAAAACGAAAGCGACTGTGTTCCTTTCCCTGCTGGCTTTTGTTTTTGACGTACGGCCGGGCTTCTGTTTCCTGCCCGGAACCGGGCTCGTGCTCGGACAAGCGTACGGGACGATTCCGGAGCGATCAGAACGGACGAGCAAAAAGAGAGAAAAAAAAAAAAAGGAGAAAAGAAAAAAAAGGTGCGATTCGAGCGACCCATATGAGCCGTGTAGGTGTATCCAACGGCCGCAGCGCGCTGGCCCAATGACTCGTGGTCATGCCGGGCCTCGAATATATCCTTTCTTTTGCTCTAGATTTCTACTTACGTGTTGTTTTTTTAACACAGATTTTGTTTATGAGCTGGATTTAATGCGAAAGGCGTTAGGTTCGAGTGTAAAAAAAAGTTGTTATACGCAGGCCAAGGCAACGTAACGCGTAGCTACCCATATAAGGCAATATATAAGCATAGAAAGCGTGTCGATGCGTACTTAGTCAGGATTAATCATCCTTAATTACAATTAGCGAGATTTGTGGGGAACGTTCAATGTGGGAAGCACTACAGATTCTGAAATTTCTCGTCAACGTATCAGGCACGTCCGGCTTGGCGCACGAGGAGCTCGAAATGCACCTGTGCTGCACCAGGTTCCACTGTATACACTGCTTGCACGTGACGCCTTCCAGTCGTTATTCTCGACTTTTTGCTCGTTTTGACCTACAAAAATGTACAGGACACGAAAACAGGACATAAAGGAAACTGTGTTCAACAATTCACTGGGAAGTCCTTTACTATTTGAGGCGAGAATGGGAGTTTTGAGGACGAGGACGTACAGGGCTAAATTTCAGGAGACAGACACATTATGTGCTGCCTGCCATAATGAGAGCGAGGCACCCGAGCAATTGGTTTTGAACTGCACGGGGCTTCGCCCTGCTCTCCCTGAAGGGGTAACAGATTTGGCCGGGTCCCTGGGTTTCGCTGGCGACGATAGAAGGACGGAAGAGAAAATTATTACAGTCACAAAGAGGTGATTAGAAGATGGGTGGAAATTATCGAGAGAAAAATGAATAATGCACAACTAACTAGCCCAGTTGGGGAGAGGGGAGAAAGAGGAAAATTGGAATTCCCTCCCGCGTGGCTCCGGCCTAAAGTGTCAACCCTGTCCCCCAGTGGGTCCGATAGTGGTGAACGCCGACAAGGTTTGACCAGAGGAAAATTGGCGACTCCCTCGCCGGGCGGAAGAGGCAGGGGGAAATGTTATTTAGTTTTTTTTTTTTTTTTTTTGTTTCGGGAGGAATCGTATGTTTGTCTTTTTAGACTTAGATCATGTGCTCTTACAAAGGGAATTGCCATTAACATCCATCCATCGCTTGGCTGGTGTCCGAACAGACATCGGACTGCCAGACGCTTGAATTTCTACAATTTATGACGGAGTCGTGTCGCCTCGCGATTCTTGTCGTATCCTGTTTGGACAGGCCTTTAGCGACCCGAGCCGTTTACCCAAAACATACGCGACTTGGCCGGTCCGTTGCGCGCGCCCAGCCAGAGCGTTAGGTAAACGTACCTCAAGCGGCGGGATGAGCTGCCTCCCCGCGACGTTGCCCTGGAGCCTCGCCGACAGGGCGACCACAATCCCGGTGTAGCCGTTCTCCTTGAGTTCAATCCGGGACGAGCACACCGGTCCGCCGCCGCGCGCCAGCACCACCAGCAGCCGCAGCACCACGACGCACCACGTGCGCCCAGACGTCATCGTCCGCGCCGTTCCACCCGCGCAGTCAACACACGCACACCTCGTCGCCTCCGTCCCGCACTCAGCGCCTGCCGGTCCCGACGGCCCGCATACCACTCCCGAAGATCTTGTTCCACAAAGGTCCACAGGAGATCGAACGTCCCGGCACAGGAACCGCTTGTTCTTGTCGCCGCAGGTTCAACTGGAGCAGCCTGGCACGAAAGAAAAAGAAACACCCGAGTGAAGATAAATAAAAAAAGAACAAAAAGGAGGCACGGAGATAATGGAAGACACACAAATGCAGAACCGGACTGAACTGTCGTATTTTAGCCCAATTACCCGGGCAGCCTCTTGAATGCAGTTAAAGGTGCCGGTAGAACTAGGGTATTATTCCCATCGCGCACCGACTCGCCCCAACTACACACCTTGCAAACCCCAAGTGAGCGGAATTAGTGCGGAGGCAAGTCTGTGAAAGACCGCGCCGCGAAATGTAATTCCGAGCTTACGGGAAAGGGAAGGAAAAGAGGCGGAGAAGGAGGAGGGGGGGACGCGAACCGCGGCCCTCGTGGATTTCGCTTCGTTTTGTTTCGGAGGAGGCCCAGCGAGGCATTCCGCTTCGTCTAAACAGGCCCCGAAGAAGAGCTCCTGGCTCGCCCGAAGGATGACGAGGGAGGGAGGAAGATTTGGGGGAGGGAGTCCCGCGAACGAACGAGCGGACGAACCGGCCGGCAGGGCCGGCGGCCCCGGTTGCTCGGCTCGGGGTGAAGATGCGAAGAGTCTAAGCTCCCAAAGTAAACAAAGACGAACCGCAGAAACGGCCGCCGACGCTTTCCCCTCTTCCTTATTTCGCCCGCCCCACCCTTCCCCTGGAGCGATATACGTACCAACAACGAGATTTTCGTCCCCACACCCTCTGCCTCCCGCTCTGTTTCTCTCCACCGCTTCCTGTTCATCGTCTTCTAGCTAGAAAATAACGGTAAGAAAAAAAAAGGAAGAACGGAACGGAAAAGCTTCCCATCAGGTTTCCTCCCTCCCGAGTGAAACGGCGGCTTGGCTTCTGGAGTTTTGAGGCATGTGCACGTGGTGGAGTCGGGCAGCGAGTGCACCCCCGCTGCGCGCGACCCGGGCCAGATTTCTTCCAGCCCGTCACGCCCCCCTCTCGGCCGCCGCCGCCGCGTCTCTACACGTTTTCTGGTAGCTGCGGTTTTCTTCGCTCGGTCGGTCACCGCCCGCGCTTGGGACATCTGGGTCTCGCCTCTATTCTCAGCTTTTCTTTCTCGGGACCGGGCGAGAGGTGTCTCCGTGATCCGTCACTTTAGCAAACGAGGTCTCTGCCAGTTGTCTGAACGAGTTCCTGCCTATTATCATCATGATTATTATTAATACATTTTTATTTAGTTTCAGCAGAATCTGTTTTCATTGTTGCCCAGCATGACTTTAATTCTTTTAACCTCGTTTTTGTTTTTAAGTGTAACCTCGTTAATGAACAGTTTGTGAATGTAAACACGTCAAGCTATTGATGTATGTGCAATAAATAATCTATTTGATTCTAAGAACGAACACAACAGCCGGGAAATTCAAACATCCAACTCTGTTCATCGTCACCGGTTGTTCTTTCACCAATGGAAACAGGAAGAAAAAGAAAACACTTCAGTCCGGCTTGCAAATCGCTTTACTAAAGCTACGAGGCGAAGCAACTTCAGTCGTATTTCTGTATTGATTTCATAGCCGTTATTAAATGAATCACAATCGGAACTCTTCAAATCAGAAATATCACTAGACCCGGTGAGGATTTTGTATCGCCTAAAAAAAAAGCCAAATTAAAAAAAAAAAAAAAACCTCGCCGTTAAGCAAAAAAGAAAGTATATAGATTTTTGGGAATACGAAAGGTTCAACCACTATCGCGGAGTTCAAACCAGCAAAGTGTACCGCGCGCTGACAAATAACATCTCATCGAACGCGCACACGTCTTTTATCATTTTGCATTACTGGGAAAACGTAGCGTCCGCCAAAACTAATGGCGTTATTAACGAAGGCTAAACGGCCGTTCGATGAAACACTGTGGGCGTAGAATTAATCTCCCCTTGGCTCTATTCATAATGCCTTAGAGGCACTACATCGAGGGCTTTTGCGCAAGAGGCATCAATCTGTAGTTTGCAAATTCTGGAGCAACCCACGCGTGAGGCCCACTCTAAATCACGTTTAGCCAAGCCAACAAACACTTCTCCCAGCGCAAACTAATTGTTTTCCATTATCGTTCGTCAACCTTTCATAACCAGCACACGGAGGAGGGTAAACCTTCGTCTCGCAATTTATGCGCAGGTATATTCGGAAGATGCCTACTGAAAGCAACCATAGAGAGGTATGAACGTACCGAAGGAACTCTGGGTGAACACGATTTGCAACGGCATGACTTTAAAACCCCGAGTCTGAGATGACAGGAACTTTAAGGCAATTGCTAGCGTAAGGACATGGGCGCAGCGAGCAGACGACGCACTCAGCCCGCTGCGCCTGTCGGGAGATGGCGCTACATTCATCGGTAGCTCGGTCGTCTGCGAACATGCCACCCTTTGACCCTAGGTAGTTATACCAAGTGAATTTTCGCCACCTCAATGCACATTCAATCAAAGCTAAAGCTTTTTACGTGCAGGCGTCAGTTTTTGTTTTCCGGCTCGTTCTACAGCGTAATATCCAGCATCCTGGTACTTGTTTTCATCTTCCGAACCGTGGAAAACAAAATAAGGCTTCTTCGTTCCACCGCTACGCGCTAAACTAAAATGCTTGTTTTGCGAATTTAAGACCGGTTACCTGTTATTTTAACCAAACGGAAAAAGCACCTTCGTACATTTTTTTCTTCTTTTTCTGAAACAAACAGTTTGAAGAAACAATACTACTTTACAAAACGTGTAAAATATGCGAAAAAAAAAATAATTATTTTTCTTTTTTCTTTAGGGGACAACAAGTACAGTTATATGATACCGTCCGTGTACCGTCAATAACGGAGCGAGCGCAGCGCACGAACCTTGGGTTTAGTGCGGGAGTTTGTGAATAGCCGCTCTGAATCTGCCCCCTATCAGGTTTCCGTTTTCCAACAGACAGCTCTTTGAAACGGGCGGGGGGCGAACTGAGGAAGAGGGTTTTTGATCATAGTATTCAGCGATTCACCAAGTGAGAGAAGGGGGAGGGGGAGACGGGAGAGAGAGAGATGCGGGGGAAGTAGAGAGAAAGAATATAGCAGAAAGACGCGAAGATCCACGCATGTTGGGGGCTCACAGATTTTGAACTGAAGCGTTCCTCGGCCGACCGCTCGAGGGGATCCCATTTCAGAACCAGACGAAACCGAAAAGGGCCAGCGGGGAGAAAACTGAAACCGGAGGGGGAAAAAAATAATAAAGTAAGAAAGCTCCTCTCGCAGATTGCCAACAGGTGCGCGAAATGTGTGGAAAACGCTTTTGGAGGAAGAAAAAAAAAAAAGAAAAAAAGAGCGGGCCGAACGGTGAGGATTGTGATGAGGGCCTAGCCGGGCTTTAGAATTGGGCTCCCCCCCCCCCCCCCTTTTTTTTATTTATTTTTTTATCGCGGCGAAAGAGCAATTTCGATTCGAACGATGACGATTATGTGACTGGTCCGAAACGGTCGGCGGGCACTTATTAAAACGGCGGTATCCGGACGAGCGCGCTCAAGAAATGTGTACAACGAGCGATAGGTATAATGGGTTCATGCTGAAATCACGATGTAACTCGATTGTGCGTTACTGCGTTGAAACTAAAAACGAGACGAACAAAAATATAAAGACAGTTGGATCACGAGAAAACTTGTGTTTGTGGAAAGCTCGAGGTAAAATGGCGCCGCTTTGATTCGAGCAGAGGTAGTTGTCAGGGAAAAGCTTTCGATAACAAAGGCTACGTGATGCACAGTATTTCTACGCTGCACTGTTTCGACGCTTGACTAGAAAAGACATTTAAAAAAAAATGTAGAACCCATAGTCGCGTTGATCTATGAATGGGATAGCATTTAACACGCTAAATTTAGTGGAGAAACTGGATTGGTTCAATGGTCACGTAACGTCAATATTCCCGCTAAATTTAGCGGGGAAATTGAATTTGTGCATAGGTCACGTGTTTTCAGTTTACCGAAACTGAAAAAAAAAAACCGGCCAAAAAACAGTATAGCCGTATAGGAAAAAATCTTGAGTAAGAGTTTAACAATGCTATCGCATTAAGAACTTAAGCATAGTAGAAGCGTTTCTAAATTAAAATAAACTTGCAATCGAGTGTTATTTAATGTTAGCAAGCATGCAATCTTACGCAGACACAAGGGGGAAAGAAAGAAAATAATCGGTGAAAAATGTTTTGCCAAAAAAAAAAAAAAAAGTCGAAACGATATACCTGGGAGCGTGAACCAATGACGTCAGAACTATATTAATTTATATTATGGACTGTATAAACGATGCACAGTACATGAAGTACAGTATATAATATAGAAACAATTTCTTTTTCATTGGTGGTTATAAACGTGAATTGCGGTCAAATTAGCGGCGAATAAAGCACGCATAAGCTGCATCGAGAGAACGCTCCGCAGGTTTCTCAAATCTTGTAAATCCCCCCCCCCCCCCCCCCTCTTTCGCGAGCATTAAAAGGCAAGAGTTAATTAGGTCAGACTGCCCGATAGCTGCGAACGACATTACAGCTTCTGTAGAATGATTACAAAAGCTGAATCGGACAACGGTTACTGATTACCTATGTGCCTTCTCCACGAACCTGAGCTGCAGAGTATCCCGCTGTATCTAGGCAGCCTTTATGAAGGCACCCTAGCTGTATCTATGAAGGAGATCTCGTAGATTGTTTCCGCCGCCCCCCAACGCTCTCAGCAAACCGCTACGATACCGCTCTCCGCAACCCCCCCCCCCCCCCCCCCCCCCCCCTTAGATCTTTCACTGTTGTAACAAGCCTATATACTTATTCGTTAACACCTTCCTCTTTCCCCCTTTTCCGTTCGAGGGAGACGACCAGTCATTCGGACATTTGATTGTTTATTTGAAGCAATAAAATACACTATATACTGGGCGCATGCACAGAATGCAGCTGGGAGAGACGTTTCCTTCAAAGCTGTGTTAGTTCAACATTATCTTCATCGTATTCAAAACACCCAAACACAAGGAGAGGAAAAGAAAAAAGGGTCAAATTTGTCACTGGAATTTTTTTTCACTCTC